TTGAAGGCAAAATATTTTGTCACATTAGTGCTGGCTTGGTCTGGACACATGGTTAATTAAAGACGCTCGGCTAGAGAGCAGCAATGGGCTAAGCTGCAGTAACTCGACTGTTGCTATCGTCTGTCCATCCTCATGCTAAGCTATTCTTAAAATGAGAGAGGGGGTTGAGCTGTCTCCGTTAACACTCATTTGCTCGGCTGCTGAGGTACAACTTCTGCATACAGATAAGGCCGACCCGTCGTGCTCGCGGTTATCACGCGTGCGCAGCCCCTCTGGCCCTCGCTAGGGATGTTACAACAAACAGGCAACGCTCTGGGGGGCCCCAATATTCAAACCTTGCCTCCAAACTCAGGCCGGCCTTCCAGGTCAGAGATGGCCACGAGCACGGCCCCTTTGAGCAGGGGGACGAGGCTCCCCAAGGCCGGGAGCCTTGGAGCACCGCAAGGTGGGAGCAGGGAGGACCCCCTGGGCAGGCAGAAATCCAAAGCTGAGCCCTGAAAATGGGGAATTTTCCATTATTCATCTCACAACACAGTTTGCTCCCGTGACCAGGAGCAAAATCTTGTCGTACAAAATGGCCAGGGTCCCTGCACACCCAGACAGAGCCCAGGCCGTGCCTGGTCCGTGTCCCGCAGCTAACACTTTCTAACACACTAGAAATTGTGTTTTAATCTTAAGAAAGGTCTGGTTTAAAATTCCCTCTAGTGGAGAGAGGGTGGAAATTCAAGCTGCAAGGTCCTGGTAGCCAAGGAAGCCCCATCCAAGCGCCGGGTGCCGGCAGGTTCCAGGGTGGAAGCGGCCGGGGCCACGGGCGTCCTCTCCGGGCTGCCCTGCACGGGGCAAAGGAACAAGGGACCAGCTGGAAAGCTTCCTGCTATCCCAAATTATTATTTCAGCATAATGGAAAACTTTTCAGTGTAAGCTTGTGTTCATAAAAATAGAAAAAAGGCCTTTCAAACTGAAACCCAAAGGTATTATTTTCCAACGTGAACATTGGCAGCTTTGAATTCTCCACAGACATGGGGAGTGTCACCAAGGTTGTCCCGGCCACCTCGGTGTCCTTTGTGCAGCTCTGCGAGCATCCGCGCTGCCCGATCGCAGCCAGACAAGGGCCGCGGTTGTTACGGATGTAAATCAAAGAAGTTCTGCTCACTTCTGTGGAGCCTTGCAGATTTATGCCAAGAGTTGACCCAGCATCTCTATTTTCAAAACTAGGGCAGATTGAAATATGCTGTTTTTCAATAATGTACTCAGGTTAACGGGGCTTTTATATTTGAGAAATTAATCTTGCATTGACTGAAAACCTCTTGGGATAACACGGAAAGGTTGCTAAGAAGAGGAAAACAAGCAGTTGTATAACTCAGTTTTCCCTCTTTTCTTTCTTCATGAAAACATATTGCAGTGATATGGTAGTGATCTACAACCCAGCACTAGTATTACTGAAGTGTGCAGAAATATAGCCTGATGTAGTACAGAAATGAATTTACTAAGAGGTAGTATTACCTCATCCTGTGTTACAGGAAAATGATTCAAACCAGGAATATTGAGACATAAAGCTGTGGTAACAGAAGAGAAACAACACGGTGGCAGAGAAAGTCCTCCTGGTTCATTGCAACAGGGTCTTGCAAAGCAGGAGCAAATACGTCCAAAGGGGGCCGTGGGGCACACGCTGGGCACGTGCTCACACTGTGTTTAAAACCAGCCCTGGGCAGGACTACCAAGGCCTTTTCCCAGTGCTGATCCTTGTCTTTCAAGACTCGTTCTTGCTGCCTCTCCCGCTGAGCTACCCAACAGCCCTCCATCTTCTTCAGCTTAGTCGTTATCTAATAAACATCATATGAGATGCGATTCAGAAATGCAGACAAGGGACGTGTGCGTGTTCCCGTTTAGGAAAGAGGCTCTGCCCGGGCATGGCCGTGAGCCAGTCTGCTGCCATCTGCCTTTGGGGGATTCTGCCCCGTGCCTCCACGCCAACACTTGCCCCTTCTTTTGCTCTAAAGCTCAAGCTCAAGCAAGACTCAGAGCGACTGTTAGGCTGGTAACGGTCTCCGTTCACTTTTTTCTCCTTGCACCTGCTATTCCCCACTCAGGAAACATCATTCCCAATTTCCCCAGTTTACAAGGACTCTTGTGATTTGACCCTTAAGTTTTAATTCATCCGGCATATTAGATTGCACAGTGGCACGGAAGTTTCACTGCTATATGGCAAGCAGGTTATACTGAGCAATCGTGGTGTTGCACTCAAAGGAAACCCAACCCACTAAAAATTCCTGAATTGCTTGTTTTCTGACAGAGATGCCGAGGCCTCATGAAGATAACATTGACCAGCAATCTGCACGATTACTGCTCCAGCAAACAGCCAGCAGTGAGCGGAAACCACTCTGTTACATCCAGTAGCTGCACTGTTGCATGACAGAAGTTTCTAATTGCAAACAGCAACAGACCCTGCAAGGATATGCAGGTGGCTACTGCTTGATTAATGTGTGTTGCATCTGTTGTTCCAAAGTGGCAATTACACTATAAAAACACACCATCTCAACAGCAGTACATTGATTTTATGGTGACTGAAAATCTGGCCCTTTACATAGTTTTTTGTCTCTGTCCTCCCACAAAAAATAATTTTCTTCTGAGTACAATAAAGTAAAAGATCTCATTGGTTCTATGTTATAACTGTGATATTATGTTCTGCTAGGAACCAGAAATCCTGCCCTTGGCCATGAAATTCAGGTAATGACCCATAACTGAAGTAAATTAGTGTTTAATTCCCCATTCCTTGCCGACAGCTTACTAATGGAAATTGATTTCTAGCTTTTTTCTTTCTCATTTAACATGCCCATGTAACGTCTTTATTCCAGATTCTAGCGGTTTCCAGCGGGTTTAGCCAGCAGGTGAGCGCGGGAGCGCGCGGGGAGCGCCGGGCCAGGCCGGGCTCCGCTGGGGCAGCTCCGGATCCCGCGGGAGCGGCGCCCGCAGCTCTGGGGACGCTCGGGTCGCTCTGCAGCTGCACAGCAAAGGCAAAGCCGCCTTCCCGCTCGCCGTGGTCACTCACACACGTTTAGCACATGCTTTCCCCTGTGCAATGAGCGCCCAGGCAGCAGCAGGGGTTGTGGCCGCCCTCTGCCCTGCGGATGGACGGGACAGACCCTTGGGGACAAGGCGGCCGGGACTCGGCCTCCAGCAGAAGGTCCCTGTGGCTCTCGCAGTGCTACAGTGTTGGGTAATCTGATAGAGACACACACACACACACCCTTTTCCTGCTATTTAGGTAAAACTCAGCTGACGATTTCTTCACTGTATAGAAGCACCAACACTAGACACAGGAGCTGGCCTTGGAAACCCAACCCGTTTTCATTGCAAGAGACGGTAAGGTTTTATGGCTCAAACGCTGTCAGTTACAGCAGCAATGAGCCAAAACAGGGTATTATCATAACGTATTTTCAACCCGTAGTTACTTCTTAGTTACTGTCAGGCTAGTCTGGCAACTACAGAGGAGTTGGGAGGGGGCAAAAAGTCCACTTTTTCCATCCTACTTTTCTGTAGATGCAATATTACAATGCTGTTTTACATTTTAAATACAGAACTAGCAGCTATTATTTTGCTCAGTGTTAGCTGGATTTTCTGGATCCACAGACACCTTAATAGTGCTATAAATTGTCTGGTAAAGGAGTTGTTAGAGATGGTGTCTGGAGTACTTGTCCCTTATTGATGTGTAAATTGGCTTGTACTGCTGGTGTGTGTTTCTAAAGCAGAATGCTTTGTAATGTGATGATAATAATAATAATAATTAGCACAGGATATAGCAAAGTGTTAATTGTGAATTAAAATCCCAAATAGAAATAACTATGCAGATCAGTTCCCTCCTGCTCTCTGCTTCTCTGACCAGCAGCCAGAGCACCAGCTTCTCAGGACGAGGGAATTTTCTGAGTCCGCTTTTCTGCTCTTGCACTGCTAAAAACAACAATCCTCCCCGGGTGCATTTGCTCAGGTGCCTTTAGGACTGATGCTGACAGCAAGCACAGAACTGCTGCACTCCTGAAGCATCCTGCTGCTATCCCAGCTGAATGCTAATGCAGCTTCAGTTCATGTCTGGATCAAAAGGGAAAGCCAATACAGTGGCAGATGGAGGAAGGACACAACACTAATAGGTTCAGAATCCTATTGATGATGGCAGGGGAAGATATGGGACAGAATGAAATGCTAGATGTTATCCTTATCTCAGCTGTCTTGTGAGGGAGCATAATGTTGTTATTAAAGTAAATGTTCCTTCCTTTTATGCATGAAGTTGTAAGGCTGTGAGGAAGTCAAAAAACTGCTGGTGTGTCTCAGCCTACCCATTTGCGATACAGAATCCTCTTCTGCAGGCTAGGAGGAGGAGAGGATTAAACAGGGTTCATAGATCACTCAGAATTTGGTGAAAAAAGTAGTTTTAGTGTCGATCTCATTTAAAATATAAATCCATGGTAAAAAATTAGCTGCAGTCAGAATAGAGTGGGGTGCCTGGGCACGTTGTGCCTGAGCTTGCCCTGCTCAGAGGAGCATGCGGAGCAGAGATAACAGCTCTGCTGGGATGAGCAGCCTCCACCAACGTACATTAAAGTTTGTGCACTGACTTATGCATTCAGAAGGGGAATGATAAAAGTAACTGCAGTCTTGTCTTCTAAGGATATAACCACCTTAGGTGAACTCTGTCACATATACATTATAAGAAACTGTAAAATGGCAAGTAGGAGCCAGTTTGCTTAGTAGAGCAAAGAGAAAACATAATCATAACAAAAATAATTTCCCCTATGTCATAGGCAGGCAAAAGGACAGAGGGGAGTCTGTGGCAGAGCTGAATACAATTTTAAACACCTTCTGGCTTGGCCACTAGAGTGATATATAGGCAATTAGAGAGATAGCCTGAAAGACCAGGGTGGGAAGAAATGTTCTTTCTAAGTGATGATCAATTATTGCTTTTAATTTACAACAGGCAAAAGAGCACTTCAGCTCACCACAGAAGGATGTGGACGTACACCGTTGGATTTACTGTCCTGCCTCACGTTGGAGGACTCGTCGGCTGGATCTTCAGTCACAAAGACATGCCCGTGTGGTACGAGAGGCTGAAGAAACCTTCCTGGTGTCCATCCCGCAAAATGTTCCCTGTTGCTTGGACTGTCCTGTACACTGGCATGGGGTAAGTTCTGTGGAGCACTCCACACCTTGTCCCTTGTCCTGCTGGTTTTGATCCCTATCAGAGAAGTCAGTTTAGGCTCTTCATTCACTCACAGGGATTGTAGGAGACCCCTTTTCCTTGCACCAGCAAGACACGTCCAGTACATTTATTCCCAAAGGATGAAGTGCAGCCTGAGCCACTTCTGGGCCGTTCCTCAGCTTCACGCTGTGAACACATACCAAGAGCTGCCACTGCCATGGGGAAAATGTGGGCCATGTAGTATGACACAAACCATGGGGTTGAGTAGTGAGGGACACGGATGCAGCTGGCTTCTGTTCAAACTCTCATGCAGACCCACCTAGCAAGACACTTCCATGAAAACAGTTCTTGTACTGGAGGTGTACAAGCATTGTAGTTACATTCTTGGAATTGTCTTTGTTCAAAATGCCCTTTGATATTAACTTGCAATAATCCCAATCTCTGGAAGCAGAATGGACTGCAGGACACTAACGTGGGTTTTCCTCTCCACAGCTATGCCTCGTATCTGATCTGGAATGACCTGGGGGGCTGCAACAGCAAAGCCATCATCCCGCTTGGCCTCTACGGGGCTCAGCTGGCCTTGAACTGGGCTTGGCCTCCGCTCTTCTTCGGAATACATAACTTAAAGATGGTAATGTATCTAGACATACATTCATCTGCTGGAGATTTGTTTGCTGGTGTCCCTGCCTCTGCTCTGGGGGTTGTTTGGAAAGTTTCTAAGCAGCGTTATAAAATACAGGAGCGTAAACAGAGCGGCAAGAGGGGCTTTTCTGAGATATAGTTCGTGCTGCACCGGGTGCAGACGATGGTATCAGGCCCCTGCATTTCTCCCCGAGTTCCTGTCGCGCGGATGGCTGGCTCTGCTGCAGCAGGGCGGCAGATCGGGAGCCCCCAGCGCGGCTGCTGCCTCTCCTAGTTAAGGATTCGGGGTGGGAGATAAGTCCCTTGGGAGTCACACCCTCCCGTGCAAGCAGGAAAGCTGCTGCCTGCGCAGGGCGTCAGCTCCGGGGGCCTTATCAGGCAGCACAACGCAACGTGCACGGCAGGGCACGGGGAGGAGGCGCAGCAGGGCCCCGCGCCGCGGGATCCCGCATGAGGGGTGTTCAAAGAGCACTCAGCTCAGGTGCTTGGTCCTGTGCCACGTGCTCTAGGTGACCCTGCGTGTGCAGGGGGTTGGACTAGATGACCTTTAGAGGTTCCTTCCAACCTTAAGCATTCTGTGATTCTGTGTGATTCTGTGTCAAGGCCTGGGGATTACGGAGAGGCAGAGTGGGGCTTATGCTTCTCTCTGGGCTTTGCCATTCTGTGCATGCAAGGTGCATTTAGAAAGCCTGTGAAGTGATAATAGCTACTCGTAGCATCATGGGCATGCTGAGGTGTGGACATAAGCAGTATCAATAGAAGGGGTCGCTGATCATCATCAACTATCTATTAACCCATGGAACTCGACAGCAAGGATTAACACTGGCCTTGTTTCCTGGTGTGGTGCGTTCAGATGTCACCGCAGGGAGTTCAGAGCCAAGGTTCCGGGATCTAGGACCTGTCGAGGCAGCTCTTCAGTGCTCCCTTTGCCTGCATGCTGTTCTGCCTCACTGCTCAGTGCTGCAGCCTGTCCCAGGAGCGAGCGACCAAGTGATGTTCTTCTCTCTGCGCAGGGAGTTCAGAGCCAAGGTTCCGGGGTCTAGGACCCATCAAGGCAGCTTTTCAGCGCTCCCTTTGCCTGCATGCTGTCCTACCTCACTGCTCTAGGAGTGCTGCAGCCTGTCCCAGGAGCGAGTGACCAAGTGATGTTCTTCTCTCTGTTTGCAGGCCCTGATTGACATTCTGTGCTTAGACGGCCTGGTGATAGGCACGATGTGCTCGTGGTACCGCATTAACAAGACCGCAACGCTGCTCATGGTGCCCTACCTGGGCTGGCTGGCCATGGCCACGTGTCTCACCATCCGCATCTGGAAGGACAACCCTGAGCCAAGGCCGGCAAAGACTGAATAAGAGCTGAAGAGAAACGAAGACATTCTGTGAAATTAAATATTGATGTTAAGAAAGATCTTGTAATCTGGGGGGGGATTCACTTTAGGATGGGCATTAGAATAGGTCTCCATCTCGCCCTTTCATCAAGGTTACATGCAGGAAAGTTTGCACCATATGCCCATGTGTTCCTTTAAGGTAACCATGCATCTTGAACCTGGGGACCTTCCCTTCCAGCACTGCAGAGGCTTTGGGGCTACAGCTGTGCTGCGACCTTAACTGTACCACGCCAAATTCCACCAGCCAGAACTGCATCTCCTACAGCAGTGTAATTCAGAGTGGCAATCCTGGAACCAGTGAAACCACTCGGAATTGCTCCCAGCCCCCACGAGAGCACAGCTTGTTCATACACATGTAGATCCTCTCTCTGCTTCTGGGGTGAAGTGAAGATATCCTTCACTCATGCAAACTAATTTTTTTAAATTTACTTTTTTTTTTCCTTTACTATTCTTGCCGTTGCTTCCTTTTTATGTCTCCTCTGGTCTGCACTTTTTACTGTTACCTTTCTATCTGACAGGTACTGAGCAAGCAGTAATCTGTCTTGTTGTGCCTGTCCGAGGAGATTCGGCGCTTTGACTTCTATTTGCGGAATATCACACTTCTTGATTTCGTGCTCCAGGATAAAGCAACAATGATGAGAATGCAAATGCTTCTCCCTAGAGGAAATTTCTTTTCCGCACCTCTTTGTGCTGTTCCTCACCAGAACAGAAAAATGAACATCAATGCCTTTGAAAAAATACTTAACATATATTTTTTTAAGTACTGAAACATAGGCACTTTTGTAAAATTAAAAGATTGCTCGCATTGCCTTGAAGGTTGTAATGACATGATTGCCCAAAGGTCCCATTCAAAATCTGCCAGGTGCGGTACAGTCTCTTACCCAGAGCCTTTCCATTCCTAAAGATTAATCAGGCACTCAAAAATTAATCAGGAAAGATTTAACTGTACATATTATTCAACTGAGGGCAGCCCATGATATAGAATCAGATACAAAAGGTGAACGGACTGTCCCTCCTTTATTCGAGCCCCGGTGTTTGATAGATCTGAAACTTAAAAGTTGCTGCCTGTTGGGGAATATTTAGTATTATTATTTTTAACTGATAGAAGCAATGTATGTGACGAAACGTGGCAAGGGTGTCTTCTTCCTGGCAGCTGCCTGTAGATGAGGCCGGGTGGGTAAAGGTGTTTTGGGGAAGGAGGCTTGGCTGGGAATGTAAAATAAATTGTGCTTGCTTTTAATAAAACCAAGACATTTTCGTTTGGAAAATAAATAAACCAAGTTATTCTTGCTTTACTGCTTTGGCATTAGACCTTGTTTCACCATTTTGATCCCATCCATTATTTTTGCCTTCTGGCTGCAGGACACCTATATCGAGGACGGGTGTTGCAAGCACATTGCAAGTGCAGAGACGTAAGAGGAGGCCCCTGGATAGATGTCACTGCAAGCAGGAGGAGGCTATAAAGCAGCGCTAGAAAGATCACAAGCTACTTCAGAACACCCCCCTATATCTCAGGGCTTTATATGGCTGCATGTTATCATTGTGCTTATTTACAGCAATGCCTAGCCTGTATCTTCCAGGGAGCTACGTGTCCAAGGACTAGCAGACATAAATTACCCCTTTTTCACCAGTATCCGCACCGGATTTGGTGGAGCTCAGGGAGCTCGAGGGCGCCTGGCCGTGATGCCGTCCTTCCCCGGCACGGATGGGCACGAGGCCGGGCATGGGGAGCGGGAGGGCAGCGGGAGAGCATCTAATCCCAGTGAAGCTGCCGAGTGACTCCGGATCTGACTAAAGCCAGCAACATTTTAATAACATTTCCAAATTAGATATATGGTTACTGTGAAGAGCTTTCATAAATTCCTCCTCTCTCTGCTTGCTCCCATTTTTTTTCAGCCAGGTAAAGGAAAACTTTGTATTAAGAATAAAGATTTTTTTTTTCATTTTTCATGCTTACCCTCTCTGCCTTCCCTTTTTTCCAACCAGTGGCACGTGGCCACACAACCCGTCCCAGCAGATCCTGCCTTTCTCCTGCTGACTTCGGGAGC